TTTAAGAGCGCATCAAAGGAGGTAAAGAATATCTTGAGATCGGTAGAAATTCAACGAGAAATGGCTTCGAAGGGAATAAAATGGGATTTCATCATAGAAAAGGCACCATGGCAGGGAGGATTCTACGAGCGAATGATTCAAAGTACTAAGAGATGTTTAAAGAAGATTCTTGGACGATCTTCGGTGGATTTCGAATCTTTAAGAACACTTTTAGTTGAAATCGAAACGACTATAAATAATAGACCGCTCACGTATATGTATGACGACGAAGAGGGAATCTCGTACCCACTAACACCTTCACAATTAATCTATGGAAGACAGATATCACTGACACCTAGTGATCGACAGTTCGATATCATCAGCACGAACAACGCGTTGACCAAAAGAGCAAAGAAACACCGAGGCTTACTCGAGCAATTTACAACTCGATGGAAAACAGAATATTTACTGAGTCTACGAGAGACCGCCCGCGTACATAAAGGTCCATCACGGGATTTCGTAGCGGTTGGCGATGTGGTTGTTCTGAAAAATGACTCAACTTCTCGCGTGTTTTGGAAGTTAGCGCGTGTGAAAGAGCTCATAAAGAGCAAAGACGGTGTAACTCGCGCAGCAAAGGTTTGCGTGTTAAACTCTGGAAAATCTCGAGTGATCGAACTACGTCGACCTATTCAGCATTTAGTCCCCTTAGAGTTGACATTGAGACAAGATACAGAAACGGTACAGCACGAAGATGGTATAGCTGCCCGTGTTGAAGAAGTTTCAACCAATCAACGACCGAGAAGAACTGCTGCAGTAGTTGGAGAACTTTTACGAAAGGGAATGATTTAAGTACATTATATTAAGGGTAACAAGTATATTTTGATCACTCTAGTGTGATCAACGCCGGGAGTGTGAGAAACTGTAGATCGCATATTTATATTTTGTTCACGTGAACACTTATACACTACATAGTGAATAGATACAATTAGTTTAATTGTATGTCCTGTGACTCCTGTCAATCATGTAATCAATTGGATATTGTACGGTTTTAAAGAGATAGTGTACGAAAATTGTGTGCTCGATTGAAATATATAGTGAGAGAGTCGTTTAACTAAAGCGATTGAATTTAACGATAAATATAAGAAGCGAACCCTGAAAGGTAATTATTACACCCTAGGAGGCGGTTTAAAAGGAGAAAGGAACACACACACAACCCAAGCCATACGTCCATTCAAAGCGTTAATCAGCTGAATGTGAGAGATCGATTTTACGTATTTATCAGTGCGAATGTACTTTCTTAACATATCAAATGTCCAAGTGCCACACAACTTATCTCATCGTCGTCATGAACATTCTTACAGTGCAGAATATATATATATATATATATATTAATATATATATAATATATATATATATATATATATATATATATATATATATATAATAACACACTTGAAAAAATTCGACAAGGAAACAACAAGGGAAGAGAAGGATTACTTGCAGAATTTGGCCTGGAAAACCTCCAACTTCTATGGACTACCTAAAATCCACAAATCACAAGCCGTAAAAGAAGCCATAGAACAACAAAACTCCACGTACATCAAGATACAAGCGCCACCAGATCTGAAACTTCGCCCGATTGTTGCTGGTCCATCGTCACCCACACATCGATTGAGCAATTTCATAGACATAATTTTGAAGCCCCTGTGTCAACATGTACAAAGTTTCATCCGCATGACCTCGATTTTTTAAACCACCTCCCAGAAACAGTCAATGATAACGCACTCCTTGTATCATTTGACGTTGTCAACCTATATACGAGTATTCCGCATGAACTCGGCCTTACAGCTATCGAATACTGGATTGACAACTTTGGAAATTCTCTCAACCGACCGTTTTCTAAAGAATTCATCATGGAATCGATTACAATTGTCCTGAAAGAGAACACTTTCCACTTCGACAATAAATTATATCAACAAATTCAGGGAACAGCGATGGGGACGAAAATGGCCCCAACTTATGCGACCCTCGTACTTGGATACCTGGAAGAGAAACTGTACTCAGAATTCGAAAAGCGATTTGGTAGAGAACAAAAGGAGGAATTTGTACGCGCTTTCCAGAGATATTTAGACGATTGTTTCACAATCTGGAACAAATCAGAGGAAGATCTGAGGAAACTACATGCTATGTTAAACAGTCTCCACGAAAGCATCAATTTCACGGTAGAATTTGACAACGCCAAGCTGCCATTTCTAGATGTGTTAGTGTACAAGCAAGATGACAAGTTGAATACGGACATCTTCTACAAGGCAACTGACACAAACCAATATCTGAACTTTAACTCGTGTCATCCCAAACACACCAAAACCAACATCCCTTACAGCCTGGCTCGTCGCATATGTTGCATTGTGTCAGACCCACACATCAAAACAAAACGACTCCGCGAACTCGAAAAATTCCTGTTACAACAAAACTACCATAAGAACCTCATCACAAAGGGAATAGAGAAAGCAACCTCTCTACCAATGGCCGAACTTAGAACACCAAAAAACAGAGATGACAACGCAAAGATCCTTCCGCTGGTTTTGACACATAATCCCAACAACCCACAAGTAATCAATAAGATAAAACAGAACATGCAATTCCTAGAGAATTCCGAGAACATGAAAACAATTCTGGAAAGTACGAAGTTTATTGTCAGCCGCCGCGAGCCAAAAAACTTGAAGAAACAACTAACACAAGCCCGGTTCGTTTCCGAGAGAACTCCAAGCAGTGTGACAAAATGCGGAGAAACAAGATGCGGTACCTGTGCAATCATAGTGACCGGAATTGATATCAAACTGAAGAACGGCAAAGCGTGGAATATAAAATGTCAGATGAATTGTAAATCGCGGAACGTTATATACGTTCTACTCTGCACAAAATGCAAAAGTTTTTATGTCGGCCAAACTGAAAATCTCCGTCACAGAGTTACGCTACACAGACAGCAAATAAACCATAAAGAATGTTGCCACTTAGCAGTAAGTGAGCACATCAGAAAATGTAGCAATGGCAACTTCCAGATTATGCCGATTTATCAATGTGACAGTCATTCAGACCGCTTAGTCAGGGAGTCAAAGGAAAGAGACATTATAACTATACTTCAGCCGGATTTAAATTCATGTCAATAATAATACCATGCAGTTAATGTAAGATTTTGTTATATATTTTCAAATCTTTGTTTGTGTGAAATATTTATGTAAATAACTAAATATGTAAATAACTACCATTAAGTAATCCAACACCACACGTGTAGTGACGTAGTGGCAAAGCAGTGAAATATGTAAATATAGGATATCACAACTCATTTCTTACAAAGTATTCAGCACCTGAGGAGCTTTCAATAGAGCGAAAACGTTTGTGCAAAATGATTAGATTTAGTGTTGTTTGATATCCTTTGTCTATATATATATATATATATATATATATATATATAAATATATATATAATATTATATATATATATATATATATATATATATAATATTTATATTTTGGCCTGAATAACTGCCTCTATACGACTGAGCATTGATTTAATCAGTTTATCTTTGGGATAGTTATTCCAAATTTGCTCAATTTTCTCGAACAAATCATTTGCATTAGAAGGAAGAGGTTCGTCCAAAAGTACTTGTTCTATTGCCCACCAAATATTCTCCAATGGATTTAAGTCAGGTGATTGGGCAGGATGGTCCAGCAAGTCATAGTTATTTCGCTCAAGGAACATTAGATTCTTCTTAGCTGTATGCACGGAGGCATTCACCGATTCAAAAAAGAGCTTAAAGTTCAAGGAGCCTGTGGCGAGTAACGCGATAACGAGGCTAGTCAGGTTGATTTTTACGCGCGAAAATTTTAAATCATTAAAAGTAAAAATATCATGGCTTCATCAGGTTTTGAAAACGTTTACATAGAATTAACTGAAGGTGATATTCCCGGTGCTTCCTTAGCTGGAAGAATATACCTTCTGAATTAAAGATGGACGAGCTCCGTTTTTGGTTAAAATGCCGTGGTGACTCGTACAAAGGTCTTAAAACGAAAGCACAATTGGTAAAAAGGTAAGCTGAAAATTTTGCAGTTTATATTTTAAAATTTTCCGCTGTATTTATATTCATATTTCTGTTCTTTTAAAGGGTTGACGAGTATGTAAAATTAGGCCGTGACAAGATTATTATTGACCCTGATGAAAACAAGATCTTTTCGAAAAGAAAGGCACGAAAACGTCACTTAACTTCCCCAGAAATTGAATCCAATACTACCATAAACAAATCGCAAAACGAACTCCAAAGTACATTAAATGGTCCAGTTGTGTACCCCACAACCGGTTGGTCAACTTCTCTGACACGTATGCCTTTATTTACTCGTGCAGAAATGAACTTACACATATCGAAATCTGGGAAGTCCTTTGATCCACAGAGCAAGAATCATACAGTTCCAACATGTATGAGAAGGGCCAAAACATTTCTGGATGATGAATACCTAAAAAACGTTTTAGCCACCAGCGACAAAAAGCACTTTTATTTTAAATGCCTATGCTATCATAGGCATTGACCGTTGCTTTGGACATCGTGTCTGGAGAGGTCACAGATGCTAAATGTTCGTGTGTTGATTGGTTTCTGTAATCATGTTTTAGCTTTAATGATGAAAATATGCAAATTTAGCCTTTATGATTGCAAACATGTTTCTGAATTAGACAGAGACGACGACATGCTGCCCACAGAAGCCTGCACGTCTAGTCTACAGACGTGGCACAGAAGAGGCAGAGGAGATTCTATACAGCCGCAACAAGTTATGGACGTTAACGTAAAGAAATTAAAGCTTGATTATAACACTTCAAATTCTACTGGGCATCAATCTTCGCGTAAAAAATCAGGCATCCAGAGTAACCTGTACGAAGCTTGAAATAAGTTGACGACCCAGGAAAATGATGAATCAAACTTAAAACAAGCTCTTAAACGACTAAAACCTTCGACGGCGTTAGCCCAAATCATGAATGATTCGGGTGGTCAAAAGGGCCAAGTCGAAACGTTGTATGGTAAGAGTCCTAGAGGATCTTATGGTAGCTATCAACTTTCCTTAACTGAGTCTAATCTCAATGTTTTTTGTGATATAACTGATTCTGTCCCAAGAAAAACCGCACATGAGAAGGAAAACATTGCCACTCTAACCTTGATATATCCCAGTTTTCCAATTACTGATACTCCTGATTTTAAATGCCCAAACAGTTGCAATCAGTCTGAAAAGAATTTCATGAAGCAGCTATGTGTTACCAAGGTCAAGCTGAATAACATTGAAAAGAAAACAAGAGCTCAATCCCAGTCTGCAGAATGGAAATATGAAAGAAAGTACAGGTTGACTGCCTCAAACTTTGGACTTATAAGTAAAAGAAAGAGAAATCATGATTCCCTTGCAAGTAACTTGCTTAATCCAAAGCCTTTCAATTCAAAGTACACAGCCCATGGCCTCAAGTATGAGTCAACAGCATTGCAACAATACCAAAAATATATGCATGCAATAGGAAAACCAGTAGTGTTATTCAAATCAGGGTTTGTTGTATGCAAAGATGCACCCTTTCTAGGAGCTTCACCAGATGGTAAAGTTATTGATACAGGATGCAGTGAACCCTATGGCCTTGTTGAGGTAAAATGCCCTGAGACAAAATATATGGTAATTCCCTTGGATGCCTGTTCAGATCCAAAGTTTTGTTCACATGAAGTTGCAGGAAAACCACAACTCAAGCATGACCATGATTACTACGCACAAGTACAAGGTCAATTAGGAGTAACACAAGTAAAATGGTGTGATTTTATTAAATATGATCATCAATACTGGATAAATTTGAAAAGTAGATTGCATTCCTTTTACTTTGATCATTTCATCAATTTGGCCACAACTGAATATAATACATGCACAACAAAGAAATGAATTTAATCACAGTGATTTAACTTTGATATATAACATTATTATTCTTGTAACAAGAATGTAAATTGTAAATTATAGTAATTATTAAATTATATTCACACTCAAAATATGTTATAAATACTGTATATTAGCCAGGCATATAGATGCCTGATATGCATTTTAAATTATCATTATTAAATTATATTTACACTCAATATTGATACTGTACATTATAGTTAGGCAGATTGAGGCCTGAAGACAAATGAATTAGCCTTTCTCACTATGATGAATATGTCAATTGCCATTTTGGGGATACCTTTTTGCAAAATTGTGCACATAAGACCTTGTAACAGCAACTGTCCTTAATTTTAGGCTGAATTTATTCTTCAAATGGTATGTTGATTGTAAAAAAATTGCTTTCCATGTTATAATTTTTTAATCCCATTTAAGAAAATTGAAAGTACCCCAAAAATGTCATTGTGACAAAGACTAATAAACTCACCATATACAGTAGAGGAACAATTCAAATGCGCCTCCATCATGGCCCTAATTCATTTAATTTATATTGAATTATTTACCTGTATATTTCCAAACACATACAATGTACAGAGATCTTGATATTATATGCTGACAAGTTTGTCATGTGTATTACACAGAAATGAACATATTGACCACATTTGATTCACAAGTCCAAAAGAGGAAAGGGGTACTACCCCACTCCAAATCTTGTAGTTTTTAATACGATTAATAGCCCTTTCAACATGGATTCGCACACTAGCAATTTGCTGTGTGTAGATTACATCTTTTGCACTCATTTGGGCATTCTGGCCAAGGAATGGTGGTATATTCAGGGTTGTCCCTAATGGTAAAAGATCTTGTATGGTAAACCCTTTGTCTGCCATAACTGTATCACCATCAATAAAATCTTGGTCAAGAAAACCACTTCGAATCACTATCTCCCGATCTGATATGGAGCCTGTGTATAGCTGGCTTATAAAAGTGATGGCTCCACTGGGTGCAATTCCAATAAATCCTTTAAGAGTTGTGTGGTTCTTATATGAACTAAATAGTTCACCATTCAATAATAAACTGCTAGGCATCTCACATCTTATTTCAGTGCAGTCTATTATGACACGTGTGTTTGGATACTTTTCTTTAAATACATCAGGCATAGTGTCTTGCACAAGTTGCTTAGATGGCCAGATGTTAATTTGACCAAACTTTAAATACATAAAGTTGATCCAGGCGGTAACAATTCTGCTTACACTGGATGATGCCACGCCAAACAAGTGTGATAAATGCTGTATTGAAAAACCTCTGCGTAGCCTACACAACACCATAAAATATTCTTCAATTGGTTTAAGCTTCTTGGGTCTTCCCTTCTTTCTAACAAGACATCCCTCCTCTGGTTCCTGCTCGTTATTGTCATTGGCAGCAGAATAAAATTCATAAGATGGTTTTTCCCTCACATATCTTATATTTTCCCCATGTGTTCCAGGGTTAAGGAAACTAAAAAGTGCAATAAATATATCATAGTTGGGAAATCCTGTATAGAAAGCAATATCTTGGTCGGACTTCAGACGGTTTAAGTCCAACAATGGTTCGACAATTTTGCTCGGTTTCTTCAAAATTTCTATGTATTCACGGTTCTGAATGTTTTCTTGTTGAATGTTAGAAATCGCTTCCCTTGTATCGCGAAGTTCAATTTCAGTCTGTTTAATTGTTCGTTCAAATTCTTCCCGCACCCGTTTTAAGTCCATTATCTCTTTCTTCAACATTTGCTCGTTATCATTGCCTATCCCGGCTGTGGAATCCGCATGTGAAGAAGTACTTGGAACATTGAAATCCGCTTGTGAAGAAGTGCTTGGAACATTGTTCGTTTTATGCTTGACAGCCTTGACTAGTGGCAGTCGGACTGTAGGAGCTCGTCGTTTCTTCGGCGAATGTAGTCTCCACTGAAACCTGGAAGGAATTTTGCCTTCCTTTACAAATATTCTTCCGTTCAAGGATTTCTTTAAGTCGTCAGGCTTGAAATGAAGAGAACAAACCTTCGTCTTGTCATGGATTTTAAATAGTTCCCTTCATCGCGCCTTATTGCATGAATCCATTGTTTACGCACGGTTTTCTCTTTTGGCAAGTTGAAATATGAAACCTTTTCACCATTTGAGAGCCGGTAACCTTGTTGAGAACACAGAGGTACACAACAGTGCGATGGCATCCAAATTTAAACAAGAATTTTTTCATGAAAAGCCTTTAAAGTTTACAGTACAATTTTGTAAAATTTTGTAAATTGCGTAACATGTTCAAAAACGTAATAAACACCTGACTAGCCTCGTTATCGCGTTACTCGCCACAGGCTCTCACCTCTTTTTCGAATCGGTGTATTGTCTTGCATAAAAACGAAAGACTGCCGTCCGCCTTGGAGTTTCATAGTGGGCGCCATTTGGTGACGTAGTATGCGATAATAGGCTTCAGCGTATACTTTTCCTTCCAGCCTTTTTATTTTGCGTTGGAACTCTTCGCCAGGTCGCCGCCGCACATACACTTCACCACAATTGGCAAAAAGATTAAATATACTTTCGTCAGACCACATCACTTTTAACCACTGATCAGCTGTCCAATATCTCTTCGCTAACGCATATTTTAGACGGGCCAGCGCATTGACTTCTCTTATCAATGGTTTCTTTTTTGCTACTCGTCCATTCATGTTACCTTCTTTCAAACGTCTCTTTATTGTTGATACAGACACTCGTGTGCCTTCTGCTATTAGGTCTCGTCTGTGCTGGGGAGCTGTTTTAAATCTATCGCGCTCGCTGGCACGCACGAGTGCTCGGTCTTGTCTTGGGGTGTTCTTTCTTGGTGCTCCAGTTCGTCGATCGTTACGCTCATTCAGGCTACCAGTCTCGTTGTACTTCTCCCAAAGGTTTGTTACAGTTGAAGGACTGACCTTGCAGCACGCAGCAATCTGTCGGTTGCTCAACTTTCCTTCCTTCTTAAGAAAAATAGCACGCCCCTTGGTTTCGTCTTTCAAACGTCTTCCAACAATCTTCTTAGTTTTTTTATCACGTCCCATTGTAAGATCATGAAACTTTGCATGGATGAGGCAGCTCAGACTCGTGGATATATATATGAATGAATCCACGTTATACTTGTGGGACTGTAATGCTATTGGCATTTTCGCATATATCCAGACATTTCCCACTCATCATTTCTAATTCTGCATAGGGATAAGTCGATTTTGTAAGCCACAACCCTTAAGAACACATTTCGTTCATAAAAAAACAGATGGCTAAAACTTATCGGCGTAGCTGTATGTAATTTGCATAAATGACAAGGCTATATAGTATGTAGCGCGTAAATGTTGTATTAAAGCATAAACTTTTTAATACTAAAATATTTTATTTCAAATTCTGTGTTAAAATAAGTTGTTATTATCCAACCAAATCCTCACCAGACAAAAAAATAATCAAAAAACTGTGTGTCCAATAACTTTTTAACGCACCTGTATATATATATATATATATATATATATATATATATATATATATATATATATATATATATTAATATATATATATATATATATGAATCCACATATGTGAATCCACATACTTTTCGACTAGCTGGTATATCACACGCAACCCACAATAAACATGCCTTAAATATTTCTGGAATAAAAGGGGGCCATGATGTCGCAGTTTCACAAAATAAGCAGTTCGTCAACAAGAGGGGAAAGGCAAGAGTTAATATTTAATTTTGGTTCACTAGGTCCAGGAATTACGCCAACAAGAATAACATTTTGAGGTTCAAACCGTTCACTTCTGGGAAGATTCATCAGGACTAAATACATTACACCCAGGGAATATATGGTATGCTTGAACGGTTGCATCCAGTCAACATTAAGCACGAACGCATAATTACGCGGATTGCCCAGGAATGAAACCCCATTAAAAACTTGGAATTCTCGCCAAATTCTACCATCAAACACGTCGCATACTACTTGGCTAACAGAACGCACTTCACGTTGACGCCATAACTCACAGTGAGCGGTGATGTCCACACGATTAACAAGGACTCTTAAGCTCTCCACGATGCTCTTATAACAAAAAACTCTGTGAGAGTAAAGTTTTTACGCCCGCACTAAAAGTCACCTCTTTCAACAGAAGAGTACCACATGTTTGTCTTCGCCAGCGTTGCCTGCGATTTGGAAATTTAACGAAAGAACATTTGTTGGAGACGTGATTTGTTCCAAAAGTACGGTAGCATTTATCAAATTCGTACAAAGAATGGCATTTAGGACATATGACGTACTTAAAAAACGCGTCATCAACAAGCACAATCTCTTTCCGAAAATAATACAAAGTGCCTGGGAAGGCTACAGCCAGCCCAGCCATCCACTGATTAGAGACGCCAACAATTTAAAGCCATTTTTTTAATCCAGCCAGAAGAAATTCCATGCCATTATCCGAGTTATGGAAGGAAGTCCAAAAATATGCCAGCAATATAAACAGACAACGAGCCAACAGAAGATTTAATGACCGACAATGCGAATCAATACGTACATTCACACTGGGTAATGATGCCTCTCCAGCATTTGTGGGGAAATCCGCTTCAACATCACAAATACCAACTTCGTCCCATATTTCATTGTTCAAAAGTTCTTCAATATTAACGGTATTCTCGTCTGAGTCGAAAGTGTAAGAACTATCACAATCATATTGCTCTCTAAGTAAGGGCCCTTCCATGAACACCTCATCATCCGTGTCATCGGAATCCACCGATACAGAATTTCGCCATGTATTACTAACTGGATCAAAGAACCTTTCACGATGGTCCCTGAAACTTCTCGCAGGAAGATTACAACAACAATGGGGACAAAACGTAAGATAATCGCAGTGGGATATGTTGTAAACTATAGTTTATATGTTGCTATGGCGATATCACATAAGATTTCAAGTACAGGAATGGTTACATTGAGACAATAGGGGATATGAGTTGATTTATTAGGTGTTTTGGTTGAACAT